GGCCCTATGCAAAATTTGTATTGGTATGGGAGTCAATGTCTTGTTCCATAGTCAGGAACTTTTAAACTATTAATACTAAAAGGCATTCACTGTTCATAGGGCCTTATTGTACTAGCACTTTTTCAGTCAGTTTTTGTGTCATTGGCCTTAGGAATCACTCAAGCTTCCTCATAAACATTATATTATTTTTATGAATATCATAATGCAAAGGATACTGCTCTATTATAAAAAGATGCATTTTGTGAAACTGAAATAGTTTCACATGAACTTGTATTTTTTATGTTTGTAAAAACAATCTAATAGCATAGCTCCACTGTAGTACAAGAGCAAGATGGAAATTACAAAAGAAAAACAGTTGCTCTTGTCTTTGTCTAGGAGGCCTTCCACACGCATGCATTAATGTGGAGCACAAAAATTAATGGAAAAAGGGCTAGTGTGACTGAGGCTTTACTGCTTATCTTCAGAATGAGAAATGACATCCACCCTCTAAATAGCAGTAATTAGATTATATAACATGATTACCTTTTATGAATATATGCAAAGTAAATTACATAGTTTGATTTACTTTTTATTTTCTTTTATAGATGAGCTTTTAAAAAAGGATTGATATTTTAGTATTCTCATTATTTATATCATTTTCATCAAGTTTTTATTATTAACTGACTTAACCAAACACTCACACACGCTGATACCCACACATTCACATCTAATACTCACATATCCACCCACACTTATTGATACCCATGTACTCACACCCACCAAAAAATACATACTACCACCTACCACACCTACACTTACCCTACCCACACCTGTTGATATGTATGTACTCGCACACGCACATGCACACACACACGTTTGATTTGTGTTAACTAGTGGTTAGTTATATATTGATTTTTTTTTTTTTTTTTTTTTTTTTTTTTTTTATTGCTTTTTTATGATTGATAATGTGTTTACATTTATATTCATTTCTATCATTTCTATAATTTGAATAGTTGTACTGAGGAGTAAACTTATTATTTAAATTCATTATATATATATCTTTCTTTCCTTCTTTCTTTCTTTCTTTCTTTCTTTATTCGATTGGGAAAGAATTTGTATTTGCCTTTGCCTTTATTAGCATTGTAATGATTAGTTTATTATTATTGTTATTATTATTATTGGTTTAATTATTTATTTGTTGTTTACACCCTAAATTTTGGATGATTAAAAGAAAGCATGATTTTCTAGTTCCTGTTCTGGTAGGTGGATTTAAATGGATTTTACATAGATGTTGAGACTGATAAACTACTTTGTAATGTTATTTAAGTATGTCTTCATTGTTTCTCTTTGTTGTTAACTATTTAATCATAACTTTCTTTGGCCATCTCATGATTGGTAAAAGTTCAGTAGCAAGCTTCTTGTCCTGCTTTGATATTTCAAGATTGTTGCATGGCTTTTTCTACGGATACATATGTTTCCCAGCTATTACCTTTTAACCCTTTACCTTTACCTGAGTTTGTAAAGCAGATGTAAACCTTCTCCTTTTACTACTACTACTACTTCTTTTCTTTTCTTCTTCTTCTACTTCTTTTTCTCTATCTTCTACTTCTACAACTACTTTTCTTTTTCTTCTTCTTCTTCTACTTCTTTTTCTTTTTCTTCTCCTACTTCTTCTAGTACTACTTTTTCTCTTTCTTCTTCTTCTACTTGTTTGTCAAGAAGATGATATACATCTTCACTGTGTTTAGCGATTTGGTTGTGCTTAGGAACATTTTATGTTTTATATTTCTTTATACTGTCACTTTTAGAGATACCCATTAACTTTTTTCCAGGGAGATTGAAGTAAAAGAATATAGATTGATTGACATAATATATTGACAAAAGTCGAGGAAAGTAGTAGTATCAGGTTGATGAGTAGGTACTGAAATTGTGGAAGTGGTATTCCATAGACAGGACACTCGGGCATGAGGTGCAGGTTAAACAGGTTCTGATTGTGGTAGAATTATGGATGACATTGTTGTTTATGTTGTGTTGCACGTAGAGGTTGTGTTTCTGTTTGCAATTAATGTTTGGAGTTTTTGTAAGGAGTAATACTCTTCATAAATTCATGTATTGGTGATTCATGTGTCAAAAGCAGGCTGTAGAGTAGAAAACTTCAATCAACATTCTAGCACATTTAATGAATGATAGCTCAAGTCATTGTCTGATTTACATAACAAAGGTCATTCCTTAAAGTGTGTATCACCTTCTGCTTAATATCTTTTTCTCTCTGTAGATGTAGAATCTTTTAGTCTTAAAGCCTTTACCTGTGTCATGCATTTATGGTTTGCACTTCCCTGATTTTCTGCATTTTACTTCTTAACATGACTATAATCTTCATGTTGCATAAACTGTTACAGTATTCAGGTGGTAAAACATATTTTACAGTGTTCTTAGTTCATTTGATTCAATTCCAGGTAATTTATGAATTTTATGTGTCGATATGATCCTGATTTAAATTTTGATATCATTTTATATAATCCTTTAGTACATTATTGCAATATTTCATGATACACAGATTTTATGCTGATTTACCAAATTATTTAAATCATTATGTTAGATATGTCACTATGAGGCCATTACATTTCTTTTGGGAAAAAAGATGATGTTATGAGAAAGAATTATGATTGTTATTATTTACTGTATATTGGAATAATTCTTTGTGATTATAGCTTTATATCTTACTGTGGTGTTATTGTTTATTATATATTATTATTATTATTATTATTTATTATATTATATTATTATCATAATTATTACTATAGTTATAATTGTTATGATAATTATCATCATCATTATTATTATTATTGTTATTGGTATTTTCATTCATTTGATTGAACCATTATTATTATTATTATCATTCATTATTATTATTACTATACTACTATTACTATTACTATTACTATTACTGCCACTACTGCTACTGTTACTACTATAATTATTATTAGTAGTTGTAATTGTAGTAGTAGTTTTAGTGGTGCATTATTATATTATATATTATTATTATTTTTATTATATATTATTATTATTATCAATATTATATATTATTATTATTATTATTATTATTATTGTTGTTGTTGTTGTGTTGTAATGGTTGTCTGATAATGGATTATATTGTTTTGTTATTGTTAATATTATTTTTATGTCAATAAATAATAATGATGTGTTATTGTTGTTATTATATTAAAAATATTATAGTTATTGTTTTTTCTCATTATTATTGCTGTTGTAGCTATTATTGTTATTATTGTTATTATTACTATTGGTGCTATTATTATTGTTATTGTTTCTTATTATTATTTTATCATCATCAATATCATTATTACTTTATTATTATTATTATTATTATTATTATTATATTACTGTTATTATTTTATTGTTATTGTTATTATTATTATTATTATTATTATTATATTATATTATTATTATTACTATTATTATTATTGTTATTATTATTATTATTGTTGTTGTTATTTTTATTACTATTATTATGATAATGTTAACTCAGTCTCCTAGAGGTAATGTGCTGTCCACTGTAGTTTTTTTGTGAATTTTGTGGCATACAAATAGCTCCACATGCTCTCAGCCAACATGTATGCAATTAGGCCCTATTGGTACATACCTGAAAATTTCCAATATCTTGAATTTTGCAGTAAAAAGTTTTTTTCTGACTGATGCTATTTATATCAGTACTGTTTTTATTATTATTGATATCTTATCTCTGATAATGTTAAGATACTAATAACTATACAGACAGGAAATAATGAAGGAAGCAGCTGTCCAAAATCAATTATTATTTTTATTATAGTTTGTTATTATTATTATTATTATCATTATCATTATTCTTATTTTTTTTATTTTGTTATCATTATTAATGATATTATTATTATTATTATTATTATTATTATTATTATTTATATTATTATTGTTATTATGAAATTGTAATAATTAACGATTGCTTTAGCTATTATTGTTATTGTTTTCCATTTAAGTTCTTGGTGTCATAATTGCTTTTATTTTCATTAATAGCATTAGTACTAGAGTTAATATTATTATTATTGCTACTTTACTTATTACAAATTGTTAATACGATTGCTGTTATTAATGGATGTTATTAGACATGAAAATTTATTATCATTGCTATATATAAAACAAGTATTTTATTTTACGTCTTTTTCAGAGTGGATGATACAGCTCTATTTAGCTAATAGTCTACTTGTAATTTTATTGTTACGGTTATTAATTTTGTATGAAGTGTTCTGAATTTTTATTATTTTTATTATTGATCTTTTTGTTGTTGATTTTTGTTGCCATATTTTTTATTATTGTTGTTGTTATTATTATTATTATGATGATGATGATGATGATGATGATTGTTATTATTGTTTTTTATTATTTTATTTTATTAGCAAAGAAGATCTATATAGACTCTTTTTCCCCCCTCCCCCAGATTGCTCGGACCCCTAAACAAAGCACTTTATTAGTAAATTTCATGCCAAATTTTTTCATCACCCCTGGTTTGTTCTCTTTAGGTAATTCTTGATTTTATTTTTGTAGTACCTGATATTAGCAAGGTAATCATAATTATCATTACTATTATTTCATGTTATTTATTGTTATTGTTGTTATTGTTATTATTTTATGATGATGATTATTATTTTATGATTATTATTGTTTAATTTTCACATTTTTTTATTAGTAGTAGTATGGTTAGTACTAGGAGCAATGATTATTTTTATATAATTTTATATTTTTTGGTTATTATCATTATCTCATGTTTATAATGATATATGAATTGTTATTCTTACCATTACTCATCTTATTATTGTTGTTCTTATTATTACTATAATTATTATTATTATTATTATTATTATTATTATTATGATTATTATGATTTATTAGTATTGTGACTTACTATTACTATGATTATTATTGTTATGAATATTATTATTGCCATTGCCATTGCCATTACTACTACTACTGCTACTACAACAATTGTTACTATTATTATTTCTAATACTTCTCTTGTTATTGTTGTTATTATTATGAGCATCAGTATTATTCTTATTAGCGTTACTTTTACCGTTATTTTTATTATCGTTGTTGTTATTGTTATTATTGTTAGCGTTATGTTTATTGTTATTGTCAATGATAATGATGACGATAATTTACTATTATTACTATAATTTTTTTTTATTTTTTTTTTTTTTTTTTTTTTTTTTTGGTTAATACTATTCTTATTCTGATTATTATAATTATTGTTATTATTATTATGATTGTTATAATCATTATTGTTGTTATTGTATTTATTATTATAAATATTATTGTTATTTTTATAATTACGTTTGTTACAACTATTATTTTTATTGCTTCGCTGAGGAGGTTTTATTTTTGGTAACGTCAGTTGGTTTGTTGGTTAGTTGGTTAGCAGGATTACTCAGAGTTGTGTCTTAGCCTAACTTAGATCCCGTTATATTTTTGTGGTGATCAAGATCCAGGAATTTTTTAAATGAATGATTGCATTTGTTACCAGTTACCCCTATTGCATTGGCAATAGTGGTAACTGTTATTATAATGTTTACGGATGTCACTAGTATATTTGAAAAAGAGGTGATTTTAATGTAATTTTTCAAATATGAATATTTCTTTTGCATCAAGGACCCTATTGCCTTAGCAGAGATATACACTCTCTGAGTGCTTCTAGTTAAAATTGTTATTATTGTTACTGTTGTTGTTAATATTATTATTGTTGTTGTTGTTGTTGATGTTATTATTATTATTGTTATAATTTTTATTATGGTTATTTTTATTGTTACATACATGCACAAATACAAGTATGCACAAATGAACACATAAAAATACATTTGCAGAAATGCGCACACATAAACTACACACACAGGTGCACACAGGAATGCACAATTAAGAGTATAGACACACTCGAGATTTTCACTTTGTAGTTGTTGTTTTCATGCATGGTAAGGAAAGAAAATATTGGAAAAAATTGAAATGCAAAAAACTTTCAGAGTATCAAGCTAGGTTGCGATGGGTCTGTGTCCAGTGTCCATGCTGAGAGCAGTATAGGCTCCTCTATCAAACGCTCAAGCCCTGCTCAGGGAGGCCAGGCGGCGTCGCCAACTAGTGGAAGTTACACAGCTGGCACCTCTCCATCACCTTCAGTTGGTACCTCGATGCTGGTAGGTCCTGGAGGAGTCTCCACTTGTTCCGTGGGAACTGGTGGGTCACCCTGCCCACTGCCTGTCAAGTCACTGCAGCCCAAGAACAGGAACCCCTCGCAGGATCCAACACGGTGAGTTTGGTTTTGTTCTCTGTGCCTGGATCTTGCTGATGAGAAAGCTGTTCTATTTTGAAAATATCTTTAGTGTTCTTGGTTGCTTTTTAGAATTTGTGATTGGTTGTTCTTTTGTTTTTAATTGTGGAAGGTAGATAAAGTATTCATGTTTGATCTAGTATATACATTATTCGATAAAAATGAAGGATAACTAAAATTACTTGTTGATGCACTTTTTTTCTTCTTACTTTCTTTTCAAAATTTTCTCCAAGTATCTCCTTGTTATTTGATTTGATTCAACCCAGTGCCAATGGGTAAAAATGTTTGGCAAGTGGACGTAAGAACAGGATTGTTGGTGCTCATCGGCAGTTTCCCCTGTTTGCGCTAAGCTCGATCGGTAGTTTACAAGCGACATTTAGCACCTAAAAGCTTTTATATTGCTATAGTTTATAAAAATATTAAAATTTTGAAGGTTTACCTTCATTATAGGTGCCATTGCCTAAAATCTTTACCATATAAATGAAGCCGCTCCTATTGGAGAAAAACAAACTCTGTCCTACGAGCCAGTGGCGTGGGAATGGGCATGATACGATGCCATCCAAGTTTCGGTCCACAACAGCCATGGCATGTACATACATGCCAACCATCAGCCACGGGTTAATTTGATAGCATTGACACTTACATTTCACAACAGCTTGTTCTTGTATATTGGTTCCAGGTTTATTATTTCTTTTCTTTCTGCATTTTTATTCTGTTTTAATTTCTTCATAATTTCAGAAATGAGATCAGTACTGTATTAGAAATATTCTTTCTGGTAGTCCTAGTTGTGTTAGAAATACTAACCCATTATTATATCTAGGTGGTCTTCAATTATAAACCCAATGGAATTGGGATATAATCCGAACACAATGGCCACTGTGCTAGGATGAACATCAAGGTTTTCCACACAAGATAGATAATAGAATTTCAAGAACAATTTTTCAAGTTTTGCTAAGGGAAACTTTTGTATTTGGTATTTCAAAAGCGAGATTTCACATGCCAGAAAATAATTTTCAGGACAAAAGTGAGGTAATGATCCAATAGAGCTGATTGGTGGTTGTTTACTGAAACTACAAAGTACATCATGAAAGAAGAGAGCAAAGATACACTCATGTACTCATTATTAAGTAAAGCATCCAGTCTAAAAGTATAAAGAACCTGCATATTAGATTTTTTCTTTCTCTCTTTTTTTGTTTTTTACCCACTTGCAGACGCAGAAGCAATTCAAGCTTTTGTGCTACAGTTAGAGTCATCCTTTTCTACTTTTCTGTTCTTTCTTGAGACAACATAGTTTTAGAAAATGATGAATACTAAACCACTAAATTACTGAAACACACTAACAGATTAAAGGGGAAAAATCATGGTGTAAACAAGGTAATAGCACTGCCTTCTTGTGGACAGTTCATGAAACAGCAGCTTCTGGCCAGTGTTGCCACAACTCTGTTAACAGCACAGATTTTGTCTGTTTTTTCCAATACCCAATAAATGCAGATCTGTAAACTGAGTGCTGATTGTATATTTATTATCATTATTTTAAGTAATATTGCAAAATGAGATAGATATCAAGGTGGAAGAAAATTATAAATGAGGAAAGACCCCCCCCCAAAAAAAGTAAAGAAAATCCATTTGAGGCAGTAGTTATCATATAAAAAAGTAAGATATGTTTTTATATTTTGAAATACTTGAAAGAAAATGAAACCATGAATTGACTATAAAGCATTATATTATATAATAGATGTGGCTTGAGGAAATTTGGCAGACTGTACTGGATTATTATTTGGCACTACATCAATCTGATAAACAGTTGAATTTAAAAGGCTTTATATAGTGATCCCATGATTTTGGTAGATATGGCTGTATGAATAGTGAGTAGGACATTAGGTGTCCCATATATGAGATATCCGGAAAAATAAAAATTGCCGGGCGTCCCACCAGTGTGATGTTGTGTCAGAGCTCGCGCTCCGAATACTCTGCGGGCTAGCCCCCCGCGCCAATTTTGTAGCCACCCAGAAACTATTATTTTCGGCTTCAAAATATACCGGCGTTAGTGGGTTAAAAGAATACAAGCTACTCTTCATACTTTGATAGAAATACTGAATACATTTGGTTTTATTATGTAAGAAACCTACAGGACTGAACATAGACATGCTTCCATCAGTGAGCAGCCTCTAAATGAGTGTGGAATCCTGTTTAATGATAGGAGGGTTGCACACTTACATTTTACTTTTAACCACTTCTCATAGAAGATATGTTTGTACTGCTTTATTGTTGTTCACATCTCACTTCATCCCTATCTGCTCCATTATATCTTCTTTTCAATGGGAACCCCTTCTTTGCAGGCAAGTGAAGGTGAGGGAGGTGGTGAAGAGAGCTGCCCTAGAGTGAAGAAGGTCATGATCTGGACAGAGCTCCAAGCATCAGCACGGCATGTCTCACAGATTGCTCCCTCTGCCTGTGGTGCCACGGCAATCATCAATGTTTTGGTTAGTATGGCTGGGAAATGTTTTGGGTTTTGGCTTGTTATGACAGTGGTTTTCTCTCTCTCTCTCTCTCTCTCTCTCTTCTCTCTCTCTCTCTTCTCTCTCTCTCTCTTCTCTCTCTCCTCTCTCTCTCCTCTCTCTCTCTCTCTCTCTTCTCTCTCTCTCTCTCTCTCTCTCTCTCTCTCTCTCTCTCTCTCTCTCTCTCTCTCTCTCTTCTCTCTTTTCTCACACACACACACACTCACACGCACGCACACGCACGCGCGCGCACACACACACACACACACACACCACACACACACACACACACACACACACACACACACACAACACACACACACACACACACACACACACACATATTAAAACTAAGTGTAAATCTATATATTCCAATGTATGTAGCAGGGGCTTTGTACATTTTCCTTGTATCTTCTGAGCATTCTTAGTATTATGATGACGGAAAAGACTTGCCATGAGTTTACAAAGCTCTTTGAGTGGGATTCACTCATTTGGCATTTAGAAGGGGGCTTTTATCTTATTCTCATCAATAAAAAAGTGTGGAATGTAATGTCCAAGAGCCATGACTGGAAGAGTGCTGGCTCCAGGGAGAATGCCATTTCCATGTTCAGCATTGTATTCCTGGCCACCATGACTGGCGGGACAGGTTATATTAAAGAAAATTGAATATTACAAAAATAGGAAATATATGACAACAAAATGTTACTTTTTTTTTTTTTTTTTTTCCCCCACTGGGTTATTTATTACATAGAGAGATGATATGGAGCCTGCGTAAAGAAAATGATATACCACTATCTGGATTAAGTAGATCAAAAGACAAATATGGACATTAGAAAATGGCAAAAAAATATATATTTGGGGAAAAAAAATGCAAAATAACTTTACAAAGTCTTGACTGTTCGCGTACACCTGGCTGACCGGCCATATGATCACAACTGGATCCAACGGGTTAAGGGTTGCTGGACACAAGACAACTATGGGATGGCATACCCCAGATTGAAAACCCCTAACCATGATTAAAAGAGGTCTGTAAATCATGTAATTATCTCCTATAAACATTGTTAAAACATATTTAAATCAAACTATGTAATGATGGGCCAACTGTGTGTCAATATTTATGGATGCCAAAGTTATAGAAGACATTGGAGCATTTGCCTAGACAGGAACCAATGTCATAATAGATACGCCTGGACAAACCAAGTCTCCTTCCTTTTTGTTCTGGTGTTATGTCAGTGAAGAGAAGTATGTGGCCCTCAGGTGGAGAATATCAATGATGCGGGCTGGAAGGTAATAGAATGGTGGACCCCTCTTACTAGCCTTCTCTGCTGCTGTGGCTGTGCCACATGCTCAGTTATAAGATTGAGCCGAAAGTCAAACATCCTTATTTTACTGAAGAGATTCCAATATACAGTGTATGCATCGATAATAGCCATATGATCACTAACATCAACACCCTTCAAGCCAGTGTTGTAATTAGCTTAAACCAATGGCGTATCCTTATTCATTGAAGTGATATGAACAGTCAGCAACATGGTCATGGTGTTGTGGTCCTTCCACTGCAAGACCAGCAACCCTGACTTGGTGGTGCAGTAGTCCACATTGCCCACCCTCCTCACAATGTGGTCCTTGGGCATTAACTTTTCCAGGCTTTGCCTACCAGTTGTCCACAAACAACTGGTATCCTTTCTCAAGGAAACTGCCAGACTCCCATCAACTGCAGCACCACTTGTGTGGATGAAGATATGTCACTATGGTCCTGCTCAGTGTACACACTGAAGCAAGAGGTGTAATGAGCCACTACTCTGGTACTGGCAGAAAACTTTTAGACCTTCAACCCAAATGTTGCCTTCTTGTTTGGGTTGAATATCCTAAAAGCTCTTTACCCACAGAACTTCCTCAACAACTCAATGATGGCAATGTTCTTCTCCAGCACAAAGAGTGAGAGGAGTTTCCACATCCTGTCCTCTAGGAATGGAGCATATTCCTCCATATGGAGAAAGGAGAGCAGAGTTATCAGGTGATCAAACGTATCTTTCAGCATTACCTTGGCAATGAGACACACTACAACATGTGATTGGTTGATCAGTTGTCGCGGTAACAAGAATGTAACTATCCCCATCAAAATATGAAGCCCAAGATATGCAAGGCCCTCTTGAGGTGACAGGAGGGGGGCAGTCACATACCTGTTGGAGTGGGTGGAAAAAGTTTAAGTAATACATTCAGACTATTCAGTATAAGAGAAATTTCTTCAGTATGAGTACAAATAGAGAGAACCCAAAAGCAATAGTAATGAAATTCACCAGTTGGTTTCTGCAACAATGTGGTCAAGGAGAGTATCAGTGATGAAACAGTTGAAGATCTTCAAGGTTGAGCTAGACTTGTCCAGGTTGCCCATTGCCCCAGGACTTTGTCCTTCTGTTGCCAGACAAAGGATGTGTCCCCATGAGCATTACTTTCACATGCTTGGACACCTTTGGACAGTAGCTCATTGCCATTGAGCAAAGTGTCATCTCTCTATGTAGTAAATAACTCAGTGATAAAAGAAGAAAAAAAAATATGGAACATTTGGTAATTTGTATCATATATCTCATTTTTTCATAATTTTCAATTTTACATAATACAACCTGCAGTGCCGATGACATCCACCATAGTCAGGGAATTCCTCCATAGAAGCAAGAAGTTTTACCGCACCTTTTATATTGCTGTCAACAAGTTTAACGAGAACCCTCTTCATTAGTTTTTGTGTGTGTGTGTGTATTTAGACTGTATGCAAGAGTGGCCAGTTTTGGCTTCATACTGTTGAGGAATGGGAAGTATATCAGTAGCCATGTAGTATGTTACTTGGTTTTTAGAACCCTCTTCATTAGTTTTTGTGTGTGTGTGTGTGTGTATTTAGACTGTATGCAAGAGTGGCCAGTTTTGGCTTCATACTGTTGAGGAATGGGAAGTATATCAGTAGCCATGTAGTATGTTACTTGGTTTTTAGATTTTGTGGCAAGTGTAGAATGTGAATGATCCTCCTTTTTCAATTGTGTAAGGGAACTGTAAGCAAAACCAAAAAGGGGGGCCCATGTATATTCCATTTTATTTTGAATAGCATTATTACTATGGAATGATAAAGGTTCTGCTGCCTTTATCCATGTGCCCTTTTGAATGCAAGCTATAACACGGACTTGAGCTCCAGACCTGCAAGAAGGTGTTACTGATTGATGTCTGCATTCATGATGCTTATGGACAGTGCACTGAGTGTGTGCTAAGAGGGGCAAAGAGGCCTCAGTCATTTCAGTGCCGATATTGATAGCATTATAAAAAAAAATAATATATTATATAATATATATATATATAATATATATATATATATATATAATAATATATATATTTTATATATATTTATATATTTTTTATATTTTATATATTTTCCCAATTTAATGAAAAGTTAGGTCACAAGATTGCAAATTGATTCCTTAGTGGCTAAGCACTGGCAGAGCCATCTGTGTACAGAAACATTTAACACTACTAAAAATACTATTATTCTTCGTCGGCATATGTTTAAACTGAGGGCCGGACTGAGATCTTGCACTCATGAGCCAATCACTGTTGGCTTTGATGTGTAAAAACTTAGCGTAATTGGCTGGTGGGCATCAGGGGCGGGTCTAGAGAATTTTCTGGTAAGGGACGTGGGTAACAACAATAAATTGGGTGAGGGGCAGAATTAGCAAAAATTAAGGCTGCCTACTTAAATATTTATATCATACAGTTACACATTGTTTATGTCTACATCTTGCTTTTCTTGGCCACATTAAATCTGGTTGTACTTTTACCAAGTGGTCCCTCCAAACCTAGCTCGTTGTCTTCGTGGGAGGGCCTAGGAGATGAGGACTGAGACCCACTGTAGGGTATCACCCCTACCTTTGGCCTCAGCCCTTGCCTCAACTAATTTTGCTTGGTCCTTTCTTCTCTTCCTTCCTCTTCCATATCTCTTTATTCCTGTCATCTATCCATTCTAAGGTGTGAGAGCCGTGCTGAAAGGATGAAAGGCTGGCTTTTTGTCAGTCACAAATAGCCTACGGGAGCCATGGGCATGGCATTCCCTTGGTTAATTGCCAAGNCCAAAAAAAAAAATCACAGCCATTCTGATTTCATTTCTGAATAGAACAACTTTTCTACTAAGATATGCGGAAGACAGTTTTTAAAAGTTGGTCTTATTTTTGGGGGGGATAAATATTTCACAAAGGCTACTATCTCAACACCCTAAAAAGGGATACTGAAAATATATGTCACTTTCATAAGACACACATGAAAATATTGCAAATCTTTATTGCAGCAGCATGTAATAGATCTACTATTCAGCTGCAAAATGAGCCATAATATATTTAAATTGGGCTGAAAATACGTGTGATATGCATAAAATCATATTTATTTATTTGTATGAAAAATTTATTTGTTATTGTTTTTTGGACACTTGCCAGATATTAAAAATTATTCTAAAAAAAAAAGGTTGGTCTCATCTTTCATGAAATTCAATAAGCTTTCAGAAAATAATCAAATTTTTTGTTATCTCTAATCATTACGTCACAATTGCCGATTTTCTAAGGTAATGTGAAAAAAATTAACATTTCAGTCAACATCAAAAAGGGCTGCTACCATGTAAAAAACACCGGTCGGGCCTTGAAATTTTCAGGGGAGAACCGAGGCCCAGGAACTCCTTGAAAATGCATCTAACTCGATTTCGGCAAGATGGTCAAAAAACGCTGAAAAAAGACCAGACGGTCCCCTTAAGGCTGCCTACTTAAATATTTATATCATACAGTTACACATTGTTTATGTCTACATCTTGCTTTTCCTGGCCACATTAAATCTGGTTGTACTTTTACCAAGTGGTCCCTCCCAAAACCTAGCTCGTTGTCTTCGTGGGAGGGCCTAGGAGATGAGGACTGAGACCCACTGTAGGGTATCACCCCTACCTTTGGCCTCAGCCCTTGCCT